GTTGGCCGACGTTGTTAGTGTCACAATAAAAACATGACGCAAACATACACACTCCCTGTAATTAAGTGTGTGTGTGTCTTTCGGGGTTGACAAAATATATAACCACTAAGCGACGTAATTGCTACTTGCCAGTAAATGCGTTTGTTGTTATAGTACTTTGAGTGACGAAAAAACACGACGAGAGTGTACGACTGTATATCGTTAATATGGAAACGATTTTTTTCCACTTTCGTATACACTTTCTGGTATCTACAGGTAAGATTTCAGGGAAACTTTTTATTTTCATAAGGTTTAGAGAATTCGGGAATTAGGAAGTCAATCGTTTTGTTCAGTTTCAATCACTAAGTCTTTCTTTTCCATCTAATCATGCTCGTTCTTGGTAATTTCAAACATATTTAATTAAAATATTAGGCAACAGTATTTTGGAAATATTGTAGTGTAATTATACTCTATTCATAAACAACTTTTCTACCCACCAAAAATTTCATCTAAATATAATATGTCATTCTCTCCTATTCTAATACTCTAATGGCTATAGGGAATTCCATAAATAATGTAGATTTATTTCATTGTTCACTTAATGATCTCTCTTCATATATTCATTAATTTTCAATTTTTATGTTTATATTTTAATTTTTTTTTTATTTTTCTCTCTCCTAAAATTATATTATATTTTATTTTGTACATTGTACAGTACACACCCAACTTGATTTAGATTCTACTTCATACGATCATCAAAAAAGAGTAATATATAGAAAACGTTTAAATAAAGTATGCGATCACGTTAACAATCGACTTTATATGTTTATGTAGGTACCTAAACCTAATGCTATATTGACAAATTGACAAAATAACAATATTGTAGAATATATAAAAGTTGTATTAAATTTATAGTTATTATTAAAACTTTAAATTTGGTTATGAAGTCTTCCTACGCCCACTTGCCACTTATAATTGCATATGAGTCAACGATGGTTGTCAAAGAAATATTACATCAAGGTCGGTCTTGCATTCCTTCTATACTCACATACTTAAAGTTGGTATGTTATACTCTTTTTATCTTTCGTTTGATTAAATGTTATTTGTTTTATAAAACCATATAAACTTCAAATTTCTAGTCGTATAAATTTAAAAGGTTATACGCGGTTATCTCAAAACGTCGTAACTATTATACGTCCAAGATTTTTTTGTTCAATACATTTAACTATTAATTACTTAGTATAGGCGTTACGAGTACGACGGTGGCAAACGAATTCAGAACATTTAATTTTAAACTCTAATATAAGATGTTAAATTTATCACGCCCATGTAGAAACTGCTTTTCATACAATCTTATTAATTAAAACGAATATATATATATATTTATTTATTAATTAATTGTGCCATAATAATATGTTCATAATTATTATAGATACCTACTAATAATACATTTAAATATCATTACCTAAGATTTTCAATATAATTTTCATATTATGTTTTTTTGTGCAGCTCACAATATTATATTTGGACTAATCAATTACTAATGATTTGGTTATTGAGTTTTTTTTTTGAAATTTATCTTAGGAACGGATAACAAAATATTTACTACGCAATATTGTTATTACGATTTTATACTTGAACAGTGTTTATTTAGTTTATTATGAGTTGAAAATTTAGCCGAATCCTTAATGTAGAAGTTTAGTAAGTTTATTCATACATTTTAAGGGGAGTTAACACACTTTAATAAATGTTCACCACGCAAGTCGTAATGATAAGGAAGATTCAAACATACCGGGGGGCATTATTATAGTGATGAATTTATTACTAAAATCTTAACTTAGTTGGATACTCGAAAGTTTGTCGGTCCCCTTATTATTTGAAATCTACTATAGAATTCACCATTATATAAATGATATATTAATGATACAATATTATAAACTAGTGTAAATTACTATTTAAATTTTAAACAAAGCCAATTTTATTAATAACTATTGGTGTCCCACCCGATACATTTCCGAACTACATCGATCAGGATGGAATATTCTTTTGTAGTGGATTGGATATAGCATTTTCTATGAATCGAACGTAGTTCAAATAACTCTTTAAACTTTCCTGAAATTTCCAAGAACAATTTGAAATTTTCACAAAATCGATCAAGTAGTTTTTGAGAATCTATATAATAGCCACTGCAAATATACATTCAACTCTCATATTGATTGTAAAGTATCATTTCTTTATTCGAAACTATAAACTCGACGATTTGATGGATGCTTTTACCTCATCTATACCCGACCAATAGAAATCATTTAAAATACTAATTTCTACTAATTATTTCTCGTATGACCAATACCAACCATTTATAAACAACAATTTCCATCTTAAATCTCCAAATCCCTGTTGGAGCACCTCTCCAGGTTGGACCTACCGGATTCAGTTGTGATTCTAAAGTCTAAACCATTCAGGGATTTATTTTTTTCAATTCGCAAAATGTAGTTTTATTTAAAACGATCTTGTGGTCTTTTGTCATTACACTTTACAAAAGCTCAAGTATAATAATGCACCATATACGTATAAATTACTGTTTAATGGAACAAGTAAGACACTTTTAGCTCGAATAATACAACATAGTAATTTTATTTTGTACCCATATGAATTATTACATTGTAAGTAAACTGTGTTGTTAGAGCCAAAGAAGGCTATTGTCTATAATATGAACAGTTTCTAAAATGAAATATCTTATCGTAGCATAGGTAATAATGCATTGTCTATGTTTCCTGTTTTTCGTTTAAAATGTGTTTTTCTTGCGATATCGCAATAGATTTCTATTTATAATTGTTTTTACTTTTAGTTACATTATTTGATTTTGGACAAAAAACCAGGAAGTTTTTACAACCAGCTGTTGAGAACTCAGAAAAAAGTAAATAGAGTTTATTTTTTGTCTCGTGCAATAAAAAAAGAATTGTTGATCATAAATAATAATATATTAATATAACTAAAATAACTAAAATACCGAGAAATTGACGTAAAAATAAAATGAAAACTGTTTAAAAAATGATCGTTTCTTATTTGTTTTGTACATACTACCAATTAGTATTTTCTATGTAATGCAATATTCATGAATGTATGGTCATGAGATGTCAGCTTATAAAATAAGTCTACTTAATTCTTAATTTACTAATATTATGATATTATAACACCTACAGCAGCGGATGGTTATTATTAGGGAACGGATTTTAATTTAGTATAAAATTAAAAATATTTAAATATATATTTGTTTATTACTTAATAAATATTTATTTATAAATGTATAATATTTTTTTTTTTTTTTTTTTTTTTTTTTTTTTTTTTTTATTAGATAAAATTGAATATTTACAATCTGTAATTTTTTTATACAATAAGTAAATTTGGTAATGAAAGAATACAACAACATGAAAGGCATGAGGAGGGAGGCCCACCAGTGTGGATACCCTCTAACAAGTTAGTTATAAATGAATAACAATAACAATAGCAATTTAATTTAAAGTTATGTATATGATAATATTGATATACTGTGTGTTTGTGTTATTGATGTACGGAATATGTGGTGTGTGTGTGTGTGAGTGTGTGTGTGTTATGGAGTAGGGGTTATAGGGAGTGTTATTTTGTTTATTAGGGATATTAATACAGTAAGAAGGGGGTTAAGTATAGATTTTAGTTCGTCGAGGAATTTGGTGATGATGTGTAGAGATTGATCGGGTGGTGGTCTGTTAGCTGCGATTTCGGCGTATGACGGTTTTCCTTTTGAGTTTGAACTGGAGGCTTCATTTCCACTTCTTCGAGATGGAGGTGGTATAGGCGGTATAGGCGGTATAGCAAGTGTTGGAATAGGTTGCTGTTCTTTATTTATTTTTTTAGCTTTAGGTTTGGTGCGGTTTAATAATTTTTTTAGGGATTGGCATCCTTTGTAGTTTGCGGTGTGGTTTCCACCACAATTTGCACATTTTGCGGGTTCATCCCGTTGTTTTGTGCATTCGTTAGTTGAGTGTTCTGATCCGCATTTTACGCAGCGTGGATAGTGATGGCAATAATTACGTGTGTGTCCATATTTTTGGCAATTATGACATTGAGGGGGGTCAGACCGCCTTTTTGGATATTCAAATTTCACTATTGAGTTTAATATTTTTGTTATTTTGAATATTTCTCGATTATTGTTGTTGCGGGCCAGGCCTATATTAAATAGAGGAAGTGGTAACTTGTTCGTGTTGTGTATTATTTTTGAGATACTGTTGACTTTGTGCCCTAGGTCACTAAGGTAGTTTATAATATCCGCGGTAGGCGTGGAGTGGTGAAGGTGGCGTAGCACGACTCGGAAAGGTTGTGAGGAGCGGGGGAGATAAGAATGGTAATCGTAATCGGCTTCAACCAGATATGATTTAATGGCCATCCAGTTTTCGCGTGTGTTTGACCGAACGATAATATTAGATCTATTAGCTTTGCATGTGAAACCCATTGGTCCCACTATGCTAGTTAAATCATTTTTGAGGGTTATAAAATCGGTAACGTTTGTTAGTACGATATTTGGGAGTTTTAACTTACTCGGTTCTGGCGAGGTCTTGATATTTTGTGAGGCGAGCTGAGATTCTGTTTGCACGAAAACATTGTCTTGTTCCTCCATTTCTAGAACTTCGAAACGATTTGGTGTTACAAAAACTTTGTTTGTCTTATCCACGTAGGTCGGGGAGTTTGAGGAGGTCGACGAGAGAGCTCTCTTTGTAGGATTTTCCATAGTTTTCTTTTTGCGAACTTTATTTTTGTTTAGAATAACAATTGGTGAAACCGTGGCCATTACACGTTTTTAATGCCTCGTTGCGATAATTAAATGGATAGATAAGGTACGATACACGACGCATTACGAAACTACGGCGGTGCACTAGTTATCGCTTTGGCTGTCTGAGCCCGACTGGTATAATATTTAAATATTTAAATTGAAAATAACATAGAATTATTAAATAATTAATTAAAAATATAAAAAAATTAAAAATCTATTCTGATTCATCATAGTCTTCATGTGGGAAACAGTTAGAAACAACATATAGCTTGAAATTTTCAAATGTAAAGTGGCGGCGGTTCGGTCTTAACATTGCTTTGTAACGGCTGAATGACCTCTCCACATCAACGGACGTGACAGGTGCATATTTCATACACATTATTTCTTTTGGAGTGTATTCAATTTCTGAATTATTGTTATTTGGAGTTTTGTTTAATAGTATGTCTCTTATTGACATTACAGTATTAAAACCTGTGTTTTTTTCCAATACATTTTTTAATTTTGAATTGGTCAAAACTCCAATTTCTCCAGGAACCCGTTCTAATTGCTTTATGGCATTATCAACTATTTCTAAGCTCTCCGTTAGTGGCATTTTAGAAGTTTCTAATTGTGAAATAGTATCAACCAAAAATCCAAAATTAGTCGAAATAAATGCTAAATTGTTTTGCAAATTTTTACTGTCTATGAGCTCAACAGTTTTTTTTATTGCTATTGCAGCTTCAGGATCTAAATTTAAGACAACGTTTCTAATCTTTTCAAAGTTATTTGAATAATATAATACAGCTGATAACCACGTACCCCATCGAGTTATAATAGGCTCGGGAGGTAGAGTTAAATCCGGGTACATATCTTTAAATGTTTGTATACGACTTGGCGCTTTTAAAAATATTTTTTTTACGTTGGAAATTAACGAATCAACTTCTGAAAATTGAAATCTAATTGTTTCAGCTATACGATGAAAACCATGTACTAGACAAGTTAAATGTATTATTCTTGGATAAAATGTGTCCAACACTTTTCCCGCCTTACACATATACGGCGCGGCGTCCGTTAAAAGTAAAAGTACATTATTGTGTTTTATACCATTCGGCCACAAAACACCCATTGCATTATTAAATAATTGACATATAGTTTTGTGGTTACATTTATCTAATTCTTCACAGCACAATAAAAATGGTTTAGATGGTTCAGTGCTCAATTTTCCTACAATAACATTTGCGATATATCGACCGTCGGCGTCTGTTGTTTCATCTACTCCAACCCAAATAGGGCCATCTCCAATGATATTTTGAATTTTCAAAATAGTTTCTTCATACACCCCACCAACATAATTTTTCCTAAGTGTACTCTCGTCGGGAATTTTATGACCAGTATATTTTTCCATAAAATTTTTAAATGCAACATTTTTCAATTTAAAAAGAGGAATGTCTGAACGTATTAGTGCACGACACAAATCATCGTTAAAAACTGACTTACTATTGGTAGATGCGGATGATGTAGAAATAAAATTTTGTTGAAATATAAGCTTTCTGTCTTTATTGCCTCTATGTTTACTGGTATTGATGTGCTGAATAACTTGACCACGTTGGTCGATAGATACTGATTTATCACAAGACTGACAGTATAACACTTGTCCATCACTCCTAAAAGTTTCATTCGGAAATTCTTCCAAATAAATGCTAACTTTTGACCGTTTTGTGCGAGCTACTTTGGGCATATTTAAATAGTTAGCAATATTATATTATACAAACTACATACACGGACACAATACGAAAATAACGTGATCGAATAACGCTCATACGAATACTCATCGAAAAGCGAACGCATATACTCGTATACTGAAGTCTGAAATTACTACCTACTATTTAGATAACTAGATAAGATATCGAATCGTTGTCGTTTGATGTCAAAAGTGTACAGTACAGAGACCTAATGGCTAATCGTATCGCAAAATACTAAAATAAAAATGGAAATTCTTCAATAATACAGAATACGTATATTTATTTGTAAAATAATTAAAATATACACGGAAATTCTACAATATTACATAATTTATGTATTTATTTGTAAAAAAATTTAATTATTCTAAAATATTTAAAAATATTTAATTATTCTAAAATATTTAAAATAAAATTAGCATCAGATTACTTGAAATTAAATGAAACGTATACATATATCGAAAACTTTCCGATGCTATTATTACATAAAAATATTTATTTAAATTAAAATCCTTTCCCTAGTTATTATTATTGATCAAACACTAATGCCCGTATACAAAGTGAATTTATGTAACACATACAACATGTTAAACTATGTCTTATAATGTGACACACAAATTGACTATGCAAATGGACATAAAACATTTTTTTTGTCGAATCTAGTTGAATTCATCTTTTTATTTCAGCCCACATTAATGATTTCAGTACAACTCTATATACACATTTCCCTGGTTGTATATTGTGATAAATTATGATATAGGTAATATAGTTGGCATTTTGAAAACAAAATTAAGTTAACTCGGTTTTATAGTACCCAAGAGTCGAATCTGAGTAGGTGAAGACGATAAATTCGTTTACGAAATTAAGTATAAATTATAACTTAACCGGTAGGTACTATATTACTCTATATTACCAGAATTTATACAATAAAAACAAAACAATATTTTTAATCACTCTCAAAAAAAAAAAACGCTTGCAAAGTGTCTTCGTTTCAAACAAATTCCCACTTGGCGTGTAGCGTGTAATATAATATACATACGACATACCTATATGCCTCTGCATACTTAAAATACCAAAATCAATCAAACAAAAGATTTTTTTTCTATTAAAAGTTAAAACACAAAAATCGAGAATAAATCGTAAACGCTCGCTATCGGACACACCAGGTGTGGGCAAGACACAAAGTGTTCTCAAGCGATTTCGAGTAGATTTTTCTTCTTTCTGGGGGCGGTGGATATCACTCCCAATCGACCGGAAAAGTTTTTAAGGCGGGCATCGTGCACTAGATTAACTACCAATAGTCTGTTCTCCATACTGCGCGATGAGGGGCACAGTTCAAAAGAAAAAAAACACTCCGATAACAGAGAGTTATAATCATACTTTGTACCGTAATAACATAATACAAGTGTACGTACATAGTAAATTGTTAATTTTAAACTATAATTACGTGGTTATTTCTCGTGGATAAAAATTCGTTATTTAGTGTTCTCAAGTGATTTCTAGTAGATTTTTCTTCTTTCTGGGGGCGGTGGATATCACTCCCAATCAACCGGAAAAGTTTTTAAGGCGGGCATCGTGCACTAGATTAACTACCAAGTCTGTTCTCCATACTGCTCGGTGAGGCACAGTTTAAAAGAAAAAAAACGCTACAGAGAGTTATAATAACACTTTTTACCGTAATAACATAATATAAGTGTATCGTGTACGTACATAGCAAATTGTTAATTTCGAACTATAAGTACGTGGTTATTTCTCGTGGATAAAAATACGTTGTCGACACTTGAGCAGTATTTTCTTTTTGTATATTATTATACATTACCTATGCAAAATGATTTCGAAACCGTAAGATCTGAATGTGAAATAAACGTATTTCTATGTTACGACTTCAAACTCGATTTTCTTATATAACAGTTGTTGAGTAAGTACACACTATCATGTTTGGATGGTGCGATGTTTAAAAAAATGTGTACTCCCGGTGTGTACCATGTGGGTCCGCTATGTTTTGCATGCATAATATTACTGGGTTATAATAACGTATATATATATTATTAACGTTTGTGTAACGTGCAAACCGATGGTTGAAAGAGCTATGTGCACTGCTCTTACGATACTGTAACAATAATAATATATTATTATAATATTCCCGTGTGCGATAAGGGTTGTAGGTCGTATGTGGTGGTGTAATATTATGATTCATGGTATATTGTATTTATGGTTTCAGAAACGCTTCCGATTCCACGCTATAATATTATGTACGGGCAGAACCATCCCGTTGGATTCGCTGTACATAATATAATGTCCGATTTATTTACATCCAATACACGTGAGTGCGCATATACGTACGGTCACCGCTTCGGGAACGGATGTTGTTGTCGTAATACTCATATCATCTATAACACCATAATATATAATATTATATTATACTATGATGCACTGTTGCAGCAGTAGGTACACATGGAAACTACACAGTTCCGTAAGTAATGAGGAGACGCTATAGAGGAGACGCACTAGCTGTGTAGTGTTGTATATACGGTCGTATGAGAAGCTGGTTATGACCGTTATGTATTATCTATTAAGCCCAATGCGGTCATTCTGATGTATGATCGTATAATCATTAGTCGAGTGATGAAAATTATGGAAAACATGGGTCCATTCGTGGAAGTACCTAGACCGGTTACAATAATGTGCAGTAAAATTTTTTTATATCTGCGATTGCAAATTTTTTAATAAATATAGCAAGTCGCGTGGCGCATTAGCACCCCATCTCTTGATTATCTATACTGGTCGGTGGCGTTTTTGGGAATTTTGTTTGGGGAGGGGATATACGTTTTTAGCGAACATTAATGGTCATTACTAGGGCTCGGATTTAAATGCTCTAAAAATATCAAAAAAATGCATTTATGACCTAAAAACTCTAAAAAATGCCCTAAAAATATCAAAAAATGACGTTTCAAAAAATGCATTATTTATTAAATAAATTCAAATTTAATTATTATTAAAAAATGAGGAACAAATAAAATTATAATAAAAATTATAAATTATAAATTAATAAATTATATTACAATGTACAAAAAAAAAATTAAAATTAAAAATTAAATTATATTTGCATTGCATTGTACAATAAGAATTTCTTTAATGTTTTGGAATTTAAATGATCGACGGTTGTCTGCCAATAAGTTTATATATATTGAAAATTACCTCTCTACATCAACTGAGGTGATATGAGCAAACTTGAAAAATGTCAGATCGTTAGGTGTTAAGTTTTCTGGAATAATATTTTCCGACAATCGGCCACGCGCACCACCGATATAATATTATCGCTCGATAAGAAAATAATCCGATAATATCGGCTAATTGGATGGTGTGACATAAAGGTTGTAAAAACCGGAAAACCTGATGTTAAATTAGTTCAAATAGTTCAAAATGAAAATAATTTTTACGTAGTACTATATTACTATGTAGTACTTATATTTCAATGAGGTAAATTTTTTTATTCATAATACGACAAATAGGTCAAAAATGTCCTAAAAAATTAAAAAATGCATTAAAACCGTCAAAAAATGCCCCAAAAAATTATTATGGTTAGATTGCGAAGTACTTGAAACATATTTGTAGCTTGGAAAGCATCGCGTAAGATATCCCAAAAAAAAGATGCAAATGCATTGAAATCCGAGCCCTAGTCATTACCAATAATTTGATGAAAACTTAAAAACTAAAAAAAAAGTTTTGGGGGGGATCATCCCCCCTAATTACGCCCCTGATACTGGTGCAGAGATTCAGCGCTTCTAAAAACATCTCGCGTAACAAACATTATAATATTATATAGCCATATAGGTAATAATTTATCGTTATTACCACATGTGCGTATCACATTATGGTAATCGAGTATAGATCGATTGAGCATGTTCACACTTGTTGTACCTACAATTTCAACTGGTGCATTCACCGGCCAGATCCGGCCAACACAGCTGCCGGTGGGAGGTTTTGGTAGTTTTTTTTAGAAAAGCTATTCCGACGTCAAACTTACCAATGTACCAACATTCGTGCGTTCTACAATCGGCCGGTTAGAACAACCGATTGACTGTGTTCGGCATCTCATGTATCATGAGAAAATTGGCCGAGAGCCCCAAATAATCTAGAGTATATTGGCCGAGGGCCAACACAATATACTATGGTTATCAAGTGGCTTCAACAATATATTATGCATATTATTGCAGTATATCGCACAAAATAATGATATTATAATAATATAACACAAGCAAATAGCTATATTTTACCGTCACGTGTTGTAACAATAATTGAATTTGGTTTAAGACAGTTTTTCTTAAATTCTTTACCCATCATGATTAAAACCGTTAAGTGACACATTTTTCGAGTACCATCTGCGTTCAATATTTGTAATTTATACCGAGGTGCAGCTGTATGAAACTTTTGTGATTTTTTTATTCTGTAACGAAACGCTTAAAAAATATGCACACGTCATTATAGTGTACAACCAATAATGCCCTTGAAATATATATACTTTCCAGTCCCCATAGTATAATAGTGTCCAGCGTATTCACTAATATAATAAAATATTTTGTTATGTTTAATGCTTATAGTATTATAATCAGTAATGATATTTGAACTGTGTACAATTATCTGAAAGCTGCAAGATTTTATTTGTTTTCATTTATCATAGTAGTAGTATCAAACACATTTCTTAAACAATACTTATTATTTAGAAGAAAATCCAAGAATAGTAGTAGTATCAAACACATTTCTTAAACAATACTTATTATTTAGAAGAAAATCCAAGAATAATTGTTCGTAATTTGAGTAAGATTGATTTTGTGTACAAAACCAAATACTTGGCGTTATTGACTATTGTGTTTGTATAAGTTGTTAGGGGTTCTAGTTTATTTTTATTTCAAAGCACCCTATATTTTTGATTTTGAGTTATGATTTATTTATTACGGTGAAACATATATTTTTGAAAATTTTAATTGTTGAATTAATA